TACCAACAAACTGATTGGTCAGACCTTCTGCCTTTTGCCGAGGTAGCTTATAATAACCCCGTGCATAGGAGTACTGGAATGACCCCCTTTAAAGCTGTGACAGGCAGGGAGTTCAACGCTATTCCTGAACTGGATGTACAGAGTCAGGGACAGATGTCCCCGGAGGAATGGAGTGTACAAATAAAGAAATTATGGCCCCAAGTGAAAGCTGCACTGACCAAAGCAGCCGAGGAATATAAAAAACAAGCTGACCGCAAGAGAGCAGATCATAAACCATTCCAAGTGGGGGATCAGGTTTACCTATTCACCAAATACATTAAACTAAAGGTCCCATGCAAAAAGCTGGGGCCCCAATATCTGGGTCCATTTACGATTACTAAGGTAATCAATCCGGTGGCCATGGTTCTCAAATTACCACCCTTTATGGGCAAAATCCATCCTGTTTTCCATAGTAGCTTACTAAAACCTGTGGATGGCACTATGGAACCAAAACCTCCCCCTGGTCCAATACAGGATGAACATTACGAAATTGATGATATCCTTGACTCCCAGTATCGGGGAGGCAAACTACGATACCTTGTAAAATGGAAGGGATACCCTCTATCGGAGGCCTCCTGGGTATCCAGGGCTGACCTCCATGCCACAAGGTTACTGAAATGGTATCATGTCAGAAATCCCCAAAAACCCGGTTCTGCTACCAGGATACCAATATGAATAAACCTCTAACTCCCTTCTTTTGTGTTTTGCAGGTGGACTCCTGGTAGAGGGGTCCGCCTGTCAAGACTCACGCACGCTCGACACATGTGAGGGAATCGGAGATGACAGCCATGGGACTGCTGGGGCGTCGGAGATGAAAGACATGCACAGAGACGCATGGACGCTGCTACTGGCTGCAGATGGGAAGGGGCGTGGGGCTGCACATTGGTGGTGAGGGTGCTGTGGTGAGTTAGGCGGTCGGTCACCTCATGGCCCAGATAGAAGTTCGGTGGGATTCCCGTAGTTCTGGTGGGAGGGGCGAGGAGCGGATGACGCTGCCATTGCCTGATATAGAATCAGGAAGTACACCTGATTGGTTGCGAGAGGGTCGCAGGATATTTAAAGGGCGTTGGGAGGTGGCGGCTCCCAACGCCGACTTCATGTTTGTTACCAACACTTGAGCTTGACTCCACCTGACTGGATTAAACCTGGTTTGGACTGAAACCCTGCTTTAACTTGTTTTTCGCAACTGAGTCGTCCGGTTTGGTAAGCAAGCCAAGACTGACTTTGTATAAATATACAAAAGTATGAAGGCTATTACTTAATGCATTGTAAGCCGCCCTGAGTCTCCGGAGAAGGGCGGCATATAAATCAAATTTTTTAAAAAAATTAATTTCTTCATTCTCATCTATAGTTTCCTTGATTTTTCTTTTTGCTTTGACAGTAGATTACTCGTGAAAACTCTTTCAACTGGTTTAATTTATCCCAATGTAATAATGCATCCACTGTTTCTGCAGGAAGATATTATATTTTGTTTCTATAATTATTTTTGGCTTTATTATACTTTCTATAATCTGCTTTTAGCTCCAAATCAGAAAAGATACAAAAATTATTTTTTACATGTAACATGCATCCTTGATTTGTATTAATGTATTGCAGTGATTATGATGATCTATCAAGATTTTTTTTTCTGGATAATTTAATTTTCAAGAAAAATAAAAAATGTTGACAATACAAAACGTGATAGTTAAAAGCAGTACATAAACAGAATGCACTTTTAGTACTTTTTTCTTAGTAGAGACTTGAAACCACCTTTAGCAACTAACATTTAAAAAATCTAAGAGCATTTAAATGTAAATACCAGTCATTAAGAACTTGTAATTTTCAAAAGGCAGGATTTAATTATTTTCTCCTCTACTTCTATAACGAATAGTATCACTCCTTGGTTCCTGATTTTTGAAGGTAGAAATTTCCCATTAATGTTGATTGTTCTATATCTCTAAAATAACTTTTCTGTCCTTTACTATACCTAACACAGACTCACCTTCTATATATTCAAATGTCTTTCCCTTCCATTTCTATATTCTTATAGTTTAACATAGATGTTTCCTACGTCTGCTCAACTAATCTTAACCATACAAAGATTTTCTACTATCCTTAAATATTTTCCCTGGTTCCCTCTCATGATGAATTTTTCTTAAATCTGGGTTGCAAAATTCCAGATGACCACAAAATGTCAGCATAGGATGATTTTGTATCTCTCTGTTGGCCAGGCATGTTTTCACTGTCTATCATCTTCTTTGTGCCAACATATGCCATGTAATTAATTTTAGACTAGATGTTAGACCATTCTTCAGTTTATATTACTTTTATTATTACTTTTATTTCCTTAAGAGTAGCACAAAATGCTATTCTTACAAAAGAGGTGCTCCTGTCTACAAATAACATTTGGGCTGACAACTAAATGCTTCAATGTTGGAAATATAATAATACTCTTATCTATTCCTGAAGGCAGAACATAGACCAAGAAAGAGGGATGCAAGACAGCTTCTTAGTATACAAAGCACTGTCATTCATTATTTCATTAAAAAATTACTCTCGTTACAAGCAACTGTCCCAATATGTCCACTGTAAATATATTCCTACTATGGAATAGCAAGATACTCATTAAAGAGGCTTTATAAATCATAAACTCTTCAAGCAATTCAAACATAATCAGCAGAAAATGTGGATTCTAATTCAATCTTCTTAATAAAATGTTTTTTACCAGCTTGTTTTTTATCCCATTGTCAATATAGTAGTATTATTTATACTATTATTGCCAATCAACTGGTCACAAATTACCTTCATTTTCAACAATTACTGAAGCAAATTAAACATTGAGAATTACAAGTTTATTTGCATTTTCCATGGCTTTACCATAAATCAAAAAGGGCATTAGAGCCTCTATAAATATAGAAGAACAGGACAAAAAAAGCAAGAAGGAGCAGAATATAAATATTATCATTTTTCTCCCTCCAGCATATGTCAAAATCTGTCTGTACATGAATGTTGTGCATTTGGAATATGAAGGTCTAGACAACAGTTTTTTGGGGAACGGGCAAGTCCCAGCTCTGTTGTAAAAGCCAACATCTCCTCTTTCATTTTCCTTACAGGCATAACGTTTGGGAAACTCAGTGAGTAGAAATTATTCCACTTTCCTACCGTCTGAAGCAGAATGCCATGATTTATGCTACAGATGGGAAATAAATGTGTCTGCACATTTTACGTTTTATGCTACATCTAGAATATATTGTGTATGTCCTCTTAAAGCAGATGTGTGTTCCAGAGTAAGTCTTAAATAGTACCATTGTATATTTAATACTTTTACAAAGACAGCAAAATATATAAGTTAGAATTGCCTGAAAACTGAATATTGCAGCCAGCTCTGTCCTGTGATACCATATCTGTGGTACCATAGATGGGGAGGAAAAAAATGGTTTAATAACTGCAAAAAAACCTGTATTCTATGAATATTCCAGGCTAAGTTTTAAATCCTCTCAAGGGATAACTGATTGGCTCTGGAAGGGGAAAGGCCAGTTCAGTTTCTATCCAAAACTAAAGCCATGTCTCAAAATGTCCATACTGGCCCAGAACAGAAAGTATACAAGGTGATATATAATTAAGCTAGAATTTACCTAACAGATTTCTTTTAAAATATTATGCAATTTAAAATATTATGTCATTTTCTGACTAAGAGCTTAACTCTTAAATTAAGCAATTTGCTTCCCAGGTATAATCATTTAAAGTAATCTGAATAAAACTGAACTTTTTTTTGCAAGTGTTATTTATTAAATTCTTCATCTACAGTATATGACTATCTACCAAACTAAATTTATTTGTTTGTTTTGATATCTCACCTTTATTATGTTTATAAATAAATAAATCAGTGAAGACATATAATATTCTTTCCTCCTACTTTGTCCAAATCTTTCAACCCTGGGCAAAATGCCCAATAAAATCAGAAATACAGAGATTTTTTTGACAGTGCTAATTATCTGGAATCATTTTATTTGACCTCTGAAAATAGGTATAGGAGAGAAACCTTTTGTATTCCCTGCTTTAGATTTAATAAAAATGTAACTTTCTTATTCTTGTCAGTGTTTTCGGTTTCCAAAACATCAAGAGTTCCTGCTTGGATTGGGACTTAGAAGAACAGTTTTTTAAATTGTTCTAATGAAATACAAATATTAAAGAAAAGCATTCTGGAAATCGTGTACTCTAGGACATGTAGAACAGGTAAGTTACTAGGCACATTTGCCATTTCCATTTATTCCAAGTATACTAGTCAATATTCTAAAGCTTAATGCTAAAGCACATGATTTGTATGTAAAACCACTCAGATTCAGTCTCTGGTACCTCAATATTCTCAGTTATCCAAAAATTCCAAGTTATTATTTATACCATGTTATAAAGATACTGAGATTTATGATGGAGTCAACCATGACTCAAGTTCAATCCAGAAAAAGGGTAAGTACTGGCTGAGGTGGGGTTGAATAATTTTACTAATTACATTAATTATATGGGTTTACTATATTAAATTATTCAATTTCAGGGTTGTTCATAGACTTGCCTAATTGTCCCTTAGGGTTCAGAGCATTGGCCAAATATTTCTCTCACTGAACTATGTTCAGTGTTTGCAAAATCTAACTTGAAATCCTAGTTAATTCTACCTAGTACTAATATTGCTGCAAACACAGAAACAAAAATCACTATATATTTATTTTTATTTTTAGGTCCTTCACATTTATTTATTTCAGAGATAAATTCCTGCTTTTCCTCCAAGAATTGAAGCTGGTATACCTAGTACTTAATTTCTCCAATTTTTTAATTTCTCCCTGTGGAAATCACCAAAGCAGCTTCCATTATTAAAACGGATTTGATGCTCTTCAATTAATGCTGTGTTTAGTATTTTCTTTAGAAAAGGTAGAAAAGATAACATAATCCACCAGGAAATATATTACAGTGCATGTTTGTGAAATTACCTTGCTCTGAAGATTCATGACTTCTTTTGCAAACACACTATCAATTGTAGCAGGCATTTGCTGATAGAATGAGTTACTAAGTTCTTTCTTAGCCTTTGCTTTGTACTTCGCCTAGAGGGCAAGAGAAAAATAAAGTAACAATTATTTTTTGCAGATTAAGATGATATTCAATAAGAAACTTTCACATTAAATCTTTTATAAATTAGATATAAAAATAGATGTTTACCTAGCTGGGATCCAGAATAAAATCAAGTTTGATTCCGCAGTTCCCATTCCACTACTCAAGGAGTTTTCTGTTTAGATAAGTATTTTTCAGCCTTGTTAACATTCTGGATTTCAGTTCCAAGAATTCCCCAACCAATCATGCTATCTGGGGAATTCTCGGAGTTGAGTCCAGACATTTTAAAATTAACAAGGCTAAAAAACAATGGTTTAGAAAAATAGACCTCCCTAGATTTTGGGGCAGGCCAAATTGGGTGAGTTTCTGTTTTTAAAAGCTACATTTTCATAATGGCGAAATAATGAATAAAATTAAACCAATTTGTCTCCTAATTTCCAAAATTACCTTTGTGAACAATTTCATCATTTCAATCAGCCTTCACAACATGAGCTTTTCTTAAATCCAGTTGCTTACCTAATCAATCAATACCATATGTTAAAACCTCAGCTCTATAAGGTTCATCTAAATTGTTTGAATTTCAACTGAAAGTACTAAAATTGTGTTGCACAGCAGCTAATTTTTAGACCAGCAGATAGCAAATCTTTAACCTTGACATTTTTAATGCACTTAAAAACAAAATAATATTAATTAACTACATCATTTCTTTGAAAAGCTTTTATTTTTAAATAGAGTATATGAATTATATTTTTATTATTTTAAATGTACATCTTTAAATGTATTAAACAATGATGCAATCCAGCTAGGGAACTTTGGTTGTTAAATAGAAATGAAAATATTTTAATTTAAAAAAAAAAACACTATACCAAAGTTAAATTAAATGTAAGAAAAAAATCACAGATGACTAAATTTTCTAATACTGTCACTCTTTCAATCCTTTATCAGGTCATGCCTTGAACACAGTTTTTTAATTCCGTATTAACTTTGGTCTCAGTGATGGCATCATGTCATAAAAGTAAATTGACTAAATAGTATCATAATGTAATTCCATGAACTGTGTGACCCTTGACAGGCTGGAACTTAATCAGGAGGAGGCATAATGAAAGAAATATGAGAAGAGAGGAAAAGGGACTGCATTCTTGTGATAAGTGCTAGTTTGTAAATCATAGAACCATCAATATAACAAACGAAGATTGCAAATGTTCTGCCTTACATCAGAAGTAACAGCAGATATATTTTTCTCATGTGTCAGCTGTAGAGTATCAGCCACATATGTCCACCTGCCTTTTGATTTTTCATATTCTTCTTTATAACGGACCTAAAGAGGATTTTTTAAAAAGTGGGTTAAAAGAAGGAATAGAGAATAAAAGGAATTTTTATTTTGACAGGACCAAAGGAGAAAAAAGGAATATAATCTTGATTCATAATTCCTGATTAAAATGAAAGACGAATATAATAATATAATTTAATTTTAACTTAAAAAATGTGCATAATTATAAGACTACACAAGTTTAGAACAGCTAACAGATTTTAAATGACAGGAAAGCTCATATAGACAGAAGCTGTGAAGTATTCATAATTATGGCCATTTTATCTGTGTCACTGAAGCATTTCAGTGGAATTGCTGTAAGGGGATTACCTAATATTAAATCATGCATATGATTACTGTAATGTGTCCCTTGAAAGGAGGACACCTAACTTCGTGGGATTCTCTTTCTTTGTTTACCATTCCTATTAGCAAACTGAAAATCACAATTCTAGAATAAAAATAGGATTTTTATCAAATAGAGCAGTGCACTAACAGACGGAATATTTATTGAAGGAATTAATCTCCCACCGCAACAGAAACATCTTTAAAGCCACTAAATGCTTACTACTGTAATGCTAGCTGAATATGAATTGCTGGAATTTTCTCTTTCTTCAATGTAAGAAATAAATGCTCACTCAAACTTTCTGTTTTCTTTGAAGCACTGTCTGCGGCAGGTGACAGGAGGGTTCAAATTGGAAGACTATATTGCAATACTACAACTCAAGTCTCACCCTTTCAATATATGCATTAGCGTGTTGTTTATACATACACAAGAGGTGAATCTTGTGCTATTATGCTGCTTTCATCATTTTGACATAAGTAGCAAGATCCTGCAAATGTGAGATTTGTCCTTGAGGTACAATGCATTAATATTACTATTCAATGACAATATATTAATTGCAATGCTCCCAGGGTGGGAGAAAAAAAATAAAGGCATATTTTTAAATTCACGTCTAGATTAGCGGTGAACTTTAAAGAAACATATTTTGCCCTGTGGCTTAAATCTACCTCATTCAAAGCTTGAGCCAATGCTAGAAAAAGAGAGGGTAAGCAAGGACATCTTAACATTTTTGTGACCGCCACTTAGATTGTGCTGGCTGAAATCCAACAGAGTTCCATTAAGCCAGAGCAAAGAGCTTTGGAAAAATCAATGACCTATGGGCAGAACGCTCTTCATGAAAGGTGATTATTTGTTTCATATTATCCATACTAGTCCTGACAAGCTTCCAATTCTTTTTAAGCAATAAAGGCAAGAACAACAATCACTATCCTACCAGGCTCACTAAAGTACAGAATTATTTGAAGCAATTGCCATTGAAATTAATAGAACGTTAAAAAGGGGAAAGAAGAAAGTACAGGCATTAAGTTGCTTTTAGTACATTTTTATCAAGAAAAGTTGGCATTATTGCCCTTTATTACTATTAGCAGCTCTGCAATTCAGATTAAAGATTATAATTCAATTATGTCTTCCGAACCACAGTAATGCCACATTGATGTGTTACAATGTCACACTTGCAAGCTCTGTGTTTTCATAACTGTGATATGACATTGTATGCATATTTTATCATTTGTCACCCTTGCTCCCCTCCTGCATACACTTATAGGTAGTCCTCAATTTATGATCACAATTGAATTGGAATTCCTGCCATTGGAATTGGTTGGTACAATCATAAAGCAAGTCATTATATGACCAGACCCAATGTTATGACCATTTTTACCATGGTTGTTAAGTGAATCCAGTTTCTCCAACTGACTTTGCTTATTGGAAGCAAGTTGGGAAGATCACACATTTACATGACCACAAGAACGTGGCAAATGTGAGCCAGTTGCCAAGTACCCAAATTGCAAATACATGACCCACAAGGATTGTGTAACAATCACAATTTCAAACCAATATTAAACGAATGACCATAAATCAAGGATTACTTGTGTAGCTCTGGCTCTAGCTAAGTCATTATATACAAAGCTGGAGTCAATATAAAACAATTCTCTTTCTTACAAAGATAAATTACAAACAACTCAAAATAGCAAAAAGGCAAAGCAATATGGCATAAACTAAACATAAGGGTACCTGACAATCATACTTTATAATTTGCTAAAGCATTCCCAATTAATCAAGTAACAACAAAATAACCATTCAATAAAACATAAGAAAATTAAACTAAAATTAAGCAGGCTAGATAAAAAAATGGAAGGAATGCATTAATCTATTAATTCTGCAATATTCATTTAAGGAAAATTATGAAAGAATTTGAATTATTTTAAAACTTATCCAAACTAAAACTTTTAAAATTGACAGGAACAAAGGTTCTCTTGACTATGTCTAAATTAAGTATGTCAAATGTAAAGTTACAATACAACAATGACAATTTAAAATTTTAGATTTGTTTTAATGGTATAATCAGGAAAAACAATTAAATTAAAAATACAACTGGCCAGGAGGAGATAATATTGCAAAGATCTGGAAATCAGAGTTCTTAAAATACCTAGGACTATTTTAAATATCTTCTTCTTCAGCCAAAAAGATCCCAATATAAGTATATGCCAATATGTTCTGAATAATCCTATATTAGGATAGGATAGGATAGGATAGGATAGGATAGGATAGGATAGGATAGGATAGGAGCATAGCATAGCATAGCATAGCATAGCATAGCATAGCATAGCATAGAATAGCATAGAATAGCATAGAATAGCATAGCATAGGATAGGATAAAGGGAAAGGGAAAGGGAAAGGGAAAGGTTAAAAGGGTATGTCCAATTCCACTATATTAGGGAATAATACAGATACTTTGAATGTATTATTATTATTATAATACATACCTCGTTCCATATCTAAGAGGTTCCTAAATAGGCATGTGCATACCTATCGTTCCTATCACATTTTAATTTTTTTTTTCATTTTGCTTGTCTGAATTTGTAATTTTTATTCACGAATAAATAAAATAAAATACATGAAACATTTTCAGTATCAATGTTGTTCATTTTGCTCTTAGAGCAATGAATATATTTGAAGCAATATTTACGTATCTAAATATCAGGGTAGAAATGTTATATAATGAATTAAACTAGGACGGAAAATCATACTTACATTACTTATTATCTCTGTGCACTTTTTTGCAAGTTCCATGTTTTTATCCTCAATGACAGGTTTAAGGAACACCTATGGGGAAAGTATTTCCAAAAGTGAGTACAAATCTTAAAATAAATCTTTTTCACACTTTACAGAATAGATCCCAGCCACCTACTATTGTATCCTCCTCTTCTTCATCTTCCACCACTTCCTCATCTTCATTCTTTGTAGATTCCTGAAAAGGCATTCTCATTTTTTGTTCTTTTAGAAAGATGGCAAGGTTCAGTAATAAAGCAGCTTATGCCCTGCACCATTTGAATTCCTTGTGTCACTCTGGTCTCATGGCTAGCTTCATCTCACTGAGGGTTTCTTCCTTATTTAGGCAACACTTGAAAGTCTTATCTGAACAATGTAGCATGAAGTGAAAAGCATCAGATGTCCTTCGGGTAAACATTCTTGAAAAACAGCCTAGTTTGATGCCCTTGAAATTTATTGACTCGTGAACTGCACTTCCTATAATTCCAAATAAGTAGAGCCATATTTGGCATGACATAGGAAATGATCTCTTTAAAACAAAAAAAAAAATGTTTTTGCAAATATCTGAAGATCTTCTTAATGAAATATGAGCTATATGTATTATGAAACTTATTAACATGAATAAAAATGAATTATTAAAATAAGATGGTTCAGAAATCGTTGGCAATTTGCTGAAGTTGGTATAGGTGATCCACAAAATTGAGCCCAAAATTTCCGTTGCTAAGCGAAACACTTGTTAAGTGAATTTGCCCATTTTACAATCTTTTTTGCTATGGTTGTTATGTTATGTTATGTTATGTTATGTTAGTAACAAGGTTGTTAAATGAATCTGGCTTCCCCATCGACTTTGATTGTCAGAAGGTTATAAAAGGTGATCACATAACCCTGGAACACTGCAACTATCATAAATATGAGTCAGTTGCCAAGCATCTGAATTTTGATCACATGACCATGAGGATGCTGCAATGGTTGTAAATGTGAAAAACGGTCATAAGTCACTTTTTTCAGTGACATTGTAACTTCAAACAATCACTAAATGAACTGCTGTAAGTCAAGGACTACCGATAATCAGAGCTAAATCATTAGAGAAATCTATTAATGATCTGTAAATTTCTTCTCCATTACAGAGAAGAGTTGCAAACATGTAAACAAGCATTACTTTACAAATATTTCTACAGGTTTCCAAAAACTTGAATTGCTCCGTATCAAAGATTATTGTAGCAAACTGTTTTTTACATCATGACTAATTTTCCTGTAAACATATAACTTAAAGAACTAGGGGTGACATGATATGTTCCAATAACTCAGGAGTTGCCACAACTCCTCAGGGGGTCAAACTATTCTCCAAAGCACCTGAAGGCAGGACAAGAAGCAATGGATGGAAACTAATCAAGGAGAAAAGCAACCTAAAACTAAGAAAATTTCCTGACAGAACAATTAACCAAAGGAACAACTTGCCTCCGAAAGTTGTGAATTATCCAACACTGGAAGATTTTAAGAAGAGATTGGATTTGTCTGAAATGGTAGAGGGTTTCCTTCCTGAGCAGAGGTTTCGACTAGAAGACTTCCAAGGTCCCTTCCAACTCTGTTATTCTATTCTATTCTATTCTATTCTATTCTATTCTATTCTATTCTATTCTATTCTATTCTATTCTATTCTATTCTATCCTATCCTATCCTATCCTATCCTATCCTATCCTAAAGTATTCATTTTTAATTAATTAAATTAATTAATTTAATTTGATAATCTTAACAAGCAAAGTGATTCTACAGAAGGATATCTAAGATCTTCTTAAATATATTATAATAATTCACAGAATGCAAGTTTTTCAGAATAACTTTGGTTCTCACCTAGGACATCGGTTGAAAATGGTAGCGCATTCTGCACTGTTACCATAATTAAAATATCAGCTCCACTGCTCTCTCTCATTCTCATGAAACTGCTTAAGTCTGCTTATATTTCTTTGAGATTGGCCATCAGAATGAATGTTCAGAATGTTCAGAATGATCAATATTCATTATTCCAGAAAAGACTGAGTATATGTTACTGTTTAACAGTGCATTAACTTCTTTCTATCCATTTTATACATTCTTCATCTCATCCCATGATAAATTCAGCACAGTTTGCATGTTCATATGTTAGTCGTTACATTAATTCATGGAAGCACTGGATCTTATTGAAATAAATGATATACAATGAACTGAAAAATGTAATAGCGCGCAATAATTAGGCAAGAATTTAGGCTCCCTACTAAGAATAATACTCAATAAGGAAACATGGTTACCTTGACAACTGGGACAAGATGATAAATATGGCTCTTTTCTTCAGCCTCCTGAAAAACATAATCTTATCTACGCCTTGTCAAATATCTATTTTATAATGTCCATATGACATTCCAAAAGACAAGACTGCTGTAACTCTACCATATACTTTTATTAAACGATTTGTTATTAGTTGTTGGCAAAAAAAAAAAATGTGCTGCCTAGAAACTATTTGTTTAGTTTTTGTTTTTCATCTCCCACTTAGGATGTTTTGTTTTGAAAGCCCTTAATCAAAGTGCACGAAACATTAGATTTCACAGCTGACAAACATCTGTTCAGGAATATATTTAGTGTTGGCTTAAGATATTATAAACAGTATATTAAGATATTATAAAAAATATTTTAACTGAGCATATTTTTTTCTGAAAACAGTGCTCCAAAATTCCTAAAAAGATTAAAGCTAAAGGGAATTTACCCCCCCCTTTTTTTTAATGGACCATTTTTCTTCCAAACTTTTATTCCGATGTTTCATGAAGCTTTATAGCAGGGATGTGTAACAGAGGCATTTTCAATGAGGGGGGTGGGTATAAGGGGGTCAAAATGGTTGGCATCCACCCTGAAGTTCAAAGAAGGATCCAAAGTAAAAGATGGATTCCAGGACTGACAAAGAGTTAGAATCATAAAGACACATCTATTACTAGTTTATGTAATTATAACTGAAAGAAAGGTTTAATTTAGATTTTAAAATTTATATCCAAAGAATTTTGAATATAATATAATGCCTGAACAATGGGAAAACCTGTGGACAAAGGGTTTAAAATTTGTATTAAATTGTAATTTAAAATCATGTACTGTTTAACATCCAATAAATTGTCAAAGATATATAAATTTCATAAATTTCAAATGTATGTTGGAAATGAAAATGAAAAGAAGGAACTTTTTACCATCTTTGGTGGATTTGTGATAAAGCAATATTGGGGTAAGATTCATAATTTTATACAGAAGATTCTTAAAGTGAATATAAAAATCAAACCAGAGGCTTTCATTTCAGTCTTAATGGACAAAGAACTTGAAAAAAATCTGGAACGTTGCTGTTATATATGTTGATTGAAGCAAGAATGCTTTCTGCACAAAGATGGAAAGATACTTTAATACCCACAATGAATGGCTGGAAAAACTAATGGAACTTGCAGAGATGGATAAATTAACAGCTTTAATCAGAGAAAAGAACTTTCGAACTTTGTTTCTATTTGGAAACCACTGCTAGTTTTTGTGCTTTAGTTGGAAGAAAATGAAACTTGGATTTTGCTGATTACCATAGATAAGTTTGTTGTTATAGAAATGGCTAGTACATATTAAATAAAGTAAAAAGTTGATACTGTAATGTTAACATTTTATTTTCCTTTACTAAGAGTTGGAAGCCAATGCTTTTCTTTTTTACCCTACACTTGTTTGCACTGCAATAGTGCTTGATGTTTTTGTCCAGCAAACAAAATAAGATAGAATAAAAAACATAAATAGAATTTGGAGTGACGTAGTGCTTCTGATGCTTTTTAAAACTTATTTAACAATAAAAACTGAAATTAAAGTTTGTAAAAGATTTCACACGTTTATCTTTAAGCTGAGGGTAAAAGTTGGGGAAATTTCTAGTACTATAATATGAAAAAGAAAAGGGAATTTGAAATCCTATAATAAATAATTATTTATGGCATGGACACAATGTATAATGAATCATGTTTGGGCTACAGAACCCAGTGCTAAAAGCAAAAAAAAGTTTTTAAAAAGCAATTATTTAGTAGGCAGCATCATTTTTTAAAGTGTAGCATTGTAATTATCTTGATTCTTAAAGAACTATAATAATTGTAGTGCTAGAAATGCATTATTTAGCATAAAATGTATAGGATTCTCTAAACTAGAACAGAAAAACCAAAAATATTCCCAGAAATCTGTCAAAAAAGAGAAATATTACATTTACATTTTAAAATATAAAACAACAAGTAGAATAGATTTTATTATGGTAAACTGGGAGAAGCTTTAAAGGGGTAGATAAGAAGTTCAGAAGAGGGGGGGAAAACAACTAACCTCAGTAACAGACTTTTTTGATTACTAAGAATTGAATGAATAGTAGAACAAAAACCTAGCATGAATATAAAGTTATCATGGCAAGATTAAAAATAAGGGGAAAGATAAAAAATATATAATCCAAAATAAATTACAAACTGAAAAGATAAGTAGAATAGATTTTTTTCAAACCAAAAGTTTCTTTATTAATGTTAACATATTCAGACTGTCACCAGAAAGTTAATTTCCAGGAAGGTTAAGGATATACTGGGATGAGCTCTTAGGCTTTTATCACTATGATGATCTCATAGCTTGCCTTTCAGTTTTTTTAAAAAAAAAACACTAATGCAATGGCTGCTTGAATCCGTAATACCAAGCTTTGTGGATTTTTCTAGACCAAAAGGAGTATTTTAAGTGTCAGCACAAGCCTGAAGATAATAACCTGTAAATCAAAATGGCAGGGTCTTTGCCAGGAGACAGAAAAGGGAAATGTCAAATCTTATTTCTTCATAGCTTTTCCAAGGTGAAACTTTATTTTATTCCCTAACATTTAAATCTAGCATTCATTAATCTTGCTTCCCTGAATTAGCCACCAAGCAATTCCATATTTAATGTTCCCTAACTGAAGCTAGAAATTATTTGAGAACAAAATAATTTGATTTTTTTTCTTATAACCTATCTTCCATTTTTAAAATTTAATTAATGTTCATACTCTGAATGGTTTTAAGGGAACAATCTTATTTTCAATATTAAACCACTTTTTGATCAAACACATTTTACCAAATATAGGGAAAAAATTCCTGTCTTTTTTTAAAACAGTTTTACACATAAATATTATACCCAGGATGTTGCTCAAGAATATTTTTATAAGATTCTTTAGATCTTTGGATTAACTTGTATTTTAAAAAATTATATTCTCCATTCATTGTTCCAATATAAGTGCAGAGGCAAAATTAGTAATATAATCTTGTGTTACTGATTATGATATGTATTTACATTCATTAGAACCAGCATTTTAGATATGTACTTATTTTTATGATGCAGTTTTACTGAAGTATTTGGGGGCAGTAAAGCAGGGAACAAGAAAAAAGCCAAGTTCCAATTCATAATCTAAATCAAATTTATGTAATACATAAAGAACTGGACTGGATTTTCACTAGTCAGGGAAAAAGATGTGGGAAAATAATAAGTGGTAGATTGCATATCTTAAACTAATCTGCATTACATCTTCGGTACAGTAGAAGAGAACTATTCCATTGCCAGTGTTGAAAAAAGTCCTATTGTGAAACCAAGAAGTTTCTGTATGTAGATTTGGGCCATTCTATATATACAAGGTCAACTATGCATATAGAGTTACCTTATACATTTGTCATGATATTATCTGCTTTAGCAATGACTCTTCAAAACTCAGTTCTAGGCTTTCCATTGACAACTACCTGCCTTTTTAATGAGAAACATCAGTGACTGTACCTCACATAGAAATCATGTCCCCCATGTAAAAGGTTTTACTAAGACCTTATAATAATTCAAAATGATTATAAACATGTTAGAAAGCCTTATACTGCACAATTTCAAAGTAGAGTAATTCTGTATTATTTTCATAATGCGCACAAAACCCCGATTACAGACCCTAAGCTGTATTTTTTGGAAGGCATAATTATCTTTCTTTAAGTGCACAAAATTAAAGACATCTCTGCTTCATAACCTAGCCTAAAGCAA